GGGCTGCACTCACCCAGGTCAGCGATGCAGCACTGCCCGTTCTTCTTGACGAGGATGTTCTTGCTCTTGAGGTCGCGGTGGGAGATGGCCGGCTTGCCCTGCGTGCCGAAGATCTCGATGTGCAGGTGTGCCAGCCCGCTGGCGATGGACAGCACGATGCGCAGGCAGCTCACCGTGTCCAGCGTGGTCAGCTGCAGGTAGTCGTACAGAGAGCCCATCTCGTGGTAGTGTGTGATCAGCCACAGCTGCGTGCTGGAGTTCCGGGAGGTCATGTCGGAGGCGATAAAACCTGGGGGGAGAGAGAACAAAGGAGAAATAAGGAAACAAAGTGACAGAGCTCCTTCAAGACTCACCCAAGAGAAGAATCAATTCTGAGGCCCCTCTTGCAATGTAAAACTGTTTAATTACAACTTTTCTGCAGCTGCACTGCAGACTGCAGGTATCACTGTGATGGAAACAGAGCTGACAGATTCTGGAAGTCTGACTCACACCTATTCACAAGAACACATTTATGTATTTGTCAGTCACACCAAACAACTACTTGTTAGGACCACATACTTTAAAAATACACTTATTTTTATTTTTCCTTCTTTTTAAAGGACTTGGGGGTGGGGAAGCTCCCAGTCAAACAGAAAGACCCCAGGGTTATAGCACATCTGCTGCTGCCCACTTGAGTGAATCACACTAGAAAGCAGCAACACCTCAAGGATCAAGCCACAAGCAACCACCTCCATTTTCAGGGCCCACAGGCAGCTAGTGCAGGCTGCTGAGAACAGGGTTAAGCATGTAGCCCAAACACAATGATCTTCTACGAAGGAACAGAGAAAATTTTCTGTTCAAAACTCGTGAACCTCAAGAGTGCCTTCAAAAATGTGGTGTCTTAAAACTGAGCACCAAATTCAGGAGTAGCTCCCTTCCTGCCTCCTCTGCATTGGGTCTGTACCAGCCCAGTGACCTCAACAGCTTTAGCTGGAACAGCATAAGTTTTATTCCCAAGTCAGAGGAACAAACCGTGTTTACTAAAAGCTCACATACGACATTTTTCAGAAAGAACGCCCACTGCCTTCTCTCCTGAAGTCAGACTTTGCACAATGTGACGCTTCTGTAATCTGTGATATTGTTTAATATTGCATCTAAAAAAAGTCAACAAAATAGGCAACAAATCTGACAGTTATCAAGAAAGACTAAACACAGGCAGAGGACCAAGGGAAATGTGCAATGTAATTTCAGCCAAGTCACTTGCTCTCTTGGGAAGGGAAGTTCAATAATTCACATTTCAGGAGGCCATCAAATTATTTTTGCAGTAACAAAGGAACTGCTTCAGGAAACATTAGACAAACGTCTAGCAGGGTGAGCTACAGAGCCAAGGAACATTCTCTGACAGGAAGCAAGAATAAGGAGCCCAAGGAAAACCTGACTGAAGACAGATAGATTGTGGGTGAGGCAGTGTCAGCACTCAGAAAATGGGCTGCTGCTTTTATTTGTAGAGGTGGCACAGCAGTGACAGAAGGGCATGTCTATTAGGACTCAAAGGGCTGCTTAAACCTCAACCATGGCCCAACACAACAAAGCCATTTTCCCAGCTCTCAGAACCAAGCACACGAGGTAGAAGCAATGCACAAGGGTCACAGTACTTCCATATTTACAAAGAAATGAGATACATCATTCAACTACAGCTGAAGTTTAAACACCAAAGGAGCTTATTCTGACCATGAGCAGGACTGCAAAACAGAAGAAAATAACGGATTCGTACTTCATTTTACTCAGGCATTCATTCAAATCCTGAAATGTCTTTATAAACTCCTCCCCACTTTTTCTCCCTCCATTTCTGCAGGGAAGCTGAAGTTACAAACAAACACAGAACCACTAGAACTTGCCCTGACACACTGTGCAGGTCTCTGTGGTGAGAGCTGCAAGGGGCAGCTCTTCCATGGGGGTCTGTGGCACCTCCACTGTTTTCTGTGAGCTGTGCTGCCACCAACTGATTCATGGATTAATCTGCTTCCTGCTGGAATATTGCAGGGTAACAAGTCATGGCTGTCACCACACACTCCCCATCTGAGACCCAGCCCCCTCCTGGCAGGTCTCTCTCTGAAAATTTCCCTTCAACTGTTTATCACAACACAGGAACTTAAAGACTGCAAGATACATGGTGAATGTGCCGTGCCTTGCAATGCCAAGTTCCCTGTGCAGGTAACTCACCTTTAACCAGCCACACCAGGCTACAGAACGTGGCTGTCCTACTTACCCAAAATATTCTCGTGCCGCAGCAATACAGTGTTGTACAACTCAGTTTCCCTGAACCAGGACTTTTCATCCCTAGAGGAGAAGATCTTCACAGCAACATTTTCTCCTTGCCACTGACCCCTCCAAACTTCTCCATAACGGCCCTTTCCTGATGGGGAAAAAAAACACAGAAGTTGTAAACTAAGAACCTTCCCCGAGGAGAAGGGCAGGATGAGCTGAAAGGATGGAAACTCAGCTGTTGTGGCCCAAATATCACACTGGTGTGGTCTGATCATGCACTTCGTACCACTGGAGTCACGCTGTGCTCACCATCCCTTCACTTCTCCTGTTGTTTTGACTGCAAGCCCTCTGAGTGTGGATCTCTCCTGCCTGCACACCAGTGCAGTAGGAGGGCGTGAACTGGGAGGGGTCACCATTCAACCACCAGCAATCCAAGTGTTTTTGCAGCGAAGTGACTTTGGCAGCACATGGCAAGGTCAGTGTGCACAACACAAATAAAGATGTGAATTCTGCAGTTAGAAGGACAGGAAGCATATGTAATGCTGGGGATACAACCTTTACTTTTCTATTACATCAGCAGCCCTTGCAGAAACAGTCAACACAAAACACAGAATGATGATTTAGAAACAAACAAAACCCCAAACTCACCTACAAACAAAAAAAGGATTAAAAAAAAAACCAACCCCCCTCAAAACACACCCCTGTTCAGTGGAGATCAGGACACACAGTCTGAACACCAAGCTTTTTACCCAAATAGCTTAGAAGGAATGTATGATGTTAAGAAGCACCCAAGCACAAAGCCCCATCCTGGACAAGGTATGCTGGAACAATTCTGGCTGTTGCCATTTCCATCACAGCCCAAGAACAGCAGCCTCGGGCACGAGGCCATGAACTGTGCCAGATCTGGCAACCCTAAACACCCAAACTCTGCCCTTTGTTGCTCTGCCGTTCCGTGTCCTTCAGAGGCACGTGGGAACCAGCAGCAGGTTCACCAGAGACACCCAGCGCTGAGGCCTCGCTGCTGTCACCCCAGGGACACCCCGCTGCTGTCACCCCAGGGACACC